TTGTGTGAGATACTTGATACCTGGTTGTATCAGATACTTGATTGTGTGAGATACTTTCAAAACACCTAGTTGTGTGATATACTTTCAATACACCTGGTTGTGTGATATACTTTCAATAGACCTGGTTGTGTTATATACTTTTAATACACCTGGTTGTATGAGATACTTGATACCTGTTTGTGTGAGATACTTGATACCTATTTGTATGAGATACTTGATACCTGGTTGTGTGAGATACTTGATACCTGGTTGTAAGAGATACTTGATACCTGGTTGTGTCAGATTCTTGATACCTGGTTGTATCAGATACTTGATACCTGGTTGTGTGATATATTTTCAATACACCTGGTTGTGTGATATTCTTTCAATACACCTGGTTGTGTGATATACTTTCAATACACCGGGTTGTCTGATATACTTTCAATACACCTGGTAGTCGGACACATGAAAACGTGTCGCTATTAGATTTTACAAATACGGTTTGTTTTAAATTGGCTCAATGTAACAAAGGACTGATAAGTCAGTATAGACACAATGTCAAATTGGACTGATAGGTCAGTATAGACACAATGTAACAAAGGACTGATAGGTCAGTATAGACAGTGTCTAACAAAGGACTGATAGGGCAGTATAGACAGTGTGTAACAAAGGACTGATGGGTCAGTATAAACAGTGTGTAACAAAGGACTGCTGGGTCAGTATTAGACACAATGTAACAAAGGACTGATAGGTCAGTATAGACAGTGTGTAACAAAGGACTGATAGGTCATTATAGACAGTGTGTAACAAAGGACTGATAGGTAAGTATAGACAGTGTGTAACAAATGACTGATAGGTCAGTATAGACAGTGTGTAACAAAGGACTGATAGGTCAGTATAAACAGTGTGTAGCTATGGACTGAGATTAGAATCAAAACAAGGAACCCAAATTAGTGTTAACAAAAAATAACAATATATTTACTCTAATCGTTTTCAATTTGTATAATTAGTATTACATAAAAATCAATGACGTTAAATGTATCGTAAGCAAACTTACAGTGATAGTTACAAAGGCACTGGTGGCAAAACAATGTTGATATATATATGTAAGTATCCCCAAGAGTGGTACTTATGGCAGACTAAATGTTGATATATAAACTATCCTCAAGAGTCAACAACACACATGCAAAAGCACTCGTTAGCTGGCACAGGTTCGACAACCTAATATGTCTCCGAGGACAGACATTATATACCTCCCGAGGACAGACATTATATACCTCCCGAGGACAGCCATTATATACCTCCTGCGGACAGACACATACCTCCCGAGGACAGTCATTATTTACCACCGAGGACAGACATTATACACCACCGAGGACAGACATCATATACCCCCGATTGCAGACCTATCTACCCCAGATAACAGGCCTATATACCCCATATGCCAAACCCTATATACCCAAGATGTCAGACCCCATATACCCCAGATGTCAGACCCTATATACCCCAGATGACATATCCAAATACCCCCGAGGACAGGAGGATCTAAAGAGATCGTGTCATTTTAAGGGGGGGGGGGGGAATGTTTTCTAGAACAAATCCGGTGCGTAACAAATATCCTCAACCAAGGTCAGATGACATATCCAAATACCCCCGAGGACAGGAGGATCTAAAGAGATCGTGTCATTTTAAGGGGGGGGGGGGGAATGTTTTCTAGAACAAATCCGGTACGTTACAAATATCCTCAACCAAGGTCAACTGAGGACAGAGAAAAAAATTACAAAGGTGGGGGTGGGTGTAAAAAGGGGGTGGGGCGGGTGTCAGAAAGCCAGCAAGCACATGGGGGGAAAATACTCTCGGTGCGTTCAGTTTAAACCAAAAGGAAAAGTGTGTCAACAAAATAAGAATTGACAAAATATCCCTAACAACATTAACTGGCAAAGCTAAACAAGGGGGAGATAATATTACGATCAAGGTATGAAACACATAGACGAACCCTGGTGTAGAACGCGATCCCTGGTGGTAGGACATACACGACCCCTGGTGGTAACACATACTACACGAACCCTAGTGGTAGCACATAAATTACCCCTGATGGTAGAACACGATCCCTGGTGGTAGGACATACATGACCCCTGGTGATAGAACACGATACCTGGTGGTAGGACATACATGACCCCAGGTGGTAGGACGCAACATACCCCTGGTGGTAGGAATTAAATGACCCCTGGTTGTTTCTCTGCAAACTATATATACATATATATACCAACATCATCCTTAACCAGATTGAAAGGCATATTTATAATTATAATATCTTCACCCAGATACACAAATTTTTATATATATATATATATATATATATATATATATATATATATATATATATATGACATACATATATAACACTACATGATGGGCCAGGCATTGATAATGATAGACCCAGATGATGATCCAGAGATACATACGTATAAATATAAGTCTGCTTGATCCTACCCATTTTTATGATGACGAGTGATGTCGTCATGGCATCCGAGTACTGACTTCACTTTTGATTGGTACGACCTTGTGTAGCACCGCTAATGCCGGCTGACATTGTGTGACGACATGAGAAGGAAAGTCGTTATCCCATTACTCCTGTGAGTAAAACAATTGGACAATTTCGGCCGTAAATGACGCCTAAATCCCCCCACCCCCACTCCCCGAACAAATCCCTGACTGCCACTAACTTATCGATTTACTTCTTTCTATCAGGGTGGCTCAACACCTTACATCTGGGTGTTTGTGTGGTCTCATATGGCACACATGGCTTTGTATGGATTCATAGGGCACACGCGGTTATGCGTGGTCTGATAGGGCACATAGGGCTATGCATGGTCTCATAGGGCACAGACAGACAAGTTTATTTGGTCTCATAAGGCACAGACAGGAGGGCTCAGACAGAAAAGGTGTGGTTACGTTAATGGTGGTAAGGGTGTGGAAAAGTTAATGGTGATAAGGGTGTGTTGAAGTAAAGTGTGATTAGGGTTTTGTCAAGTTAATGGTGGTAAAGATGTGTATTTTGACAAGGCCTGATGGCACTCAAGATTATATCCATGTTTGTTTAGCCTTCAGCCGAAGCGAGGTCTCCAGAAATGAGGTCTCCAGAAGCGAGGTCTCCAGAAATGAGGTCTCCAGAAGCAAGGTCCAACCCATTGCTATTAGTTGTTAACCCGGAGGTAAACTACCACTCGTGTAGTGGAGGTCATGAGTCCCTCACAGTGGTTCTATTTAACCTCAGGGGACTCTGTCTAGGGTAGTCCTAGATGGGCTAATAGAAATAACAGAACAATTATGGAGCGCTAGGAACTATCAGCCTTTCTTGACTAGAGCAGTTAACCACATGCCCGAGACTATATAAGTAAACCATCTGCCCAAGACTATATAAGTTAACCACCTGCCTAAGACTAGATAAATTAACCACCTGCCATAGACTATATAAGTTAACCACCTGCCTAAGACTAGATAAATTAACCACCTGCCATAGACTATATAAGTTAACCACCTGCCTAAGACTAGATAAATTAACCACCTGCCATAGACTATATAAGTTAACCACCTGCCTAAGACTAGATAAATTAACCTCCTGCCATAGACTATATAAGTTAACCACCTGCCTAAGACTAGATAAATTAACCACTGCCCAAGACTATATAAGTTAACCACCTGCCTATGACTAGATAAATTAACCACTGCCCAAGACTATATAAGTTAACCACCTGCCTAAGACTAGATAAATTAACCACTGCCCAAGACTATATAAGTTAACCACCTGCCTAAGACTAGATAAATTAACCACTGCCCAAGACTATATAAGTTAACCACCTGCCCAAGACTTTATAAGTTAACCACCTGCCTAAGACTAGATAAATTAACCACTGCTCAAGACTATATAAGTTAACCACCTGCCCAAGACTATATAAGTTAACCACCTGCCTAAGACTAGATAAATTAACCACTGCCCAAGACTATATAAGTTAAACACCTGCCTAAGACTAGATAAATTAACCACTGCCCAAGACTATATAAGTTAACCACCTGCCCAGGACTATATAAGTTAACCACCTGCCCAAGACTATATAAGTTAACCACCTGCCCAAGACTATATAAGTTAACCACCTGCCATAGACTATATAAGTTAACCACCTGCCCAAGACTATATAAGTTAACCACCTGCCCAAGACTATATAAGTTAACCACCTGCCCAAGACTATATAAGTTAACCACCTGCTTATGAATACATGATTGACTACAGAAGAAATGGTTTACATATCCATAATTTCACTGGGATATGATCCACCATTGTACTGGGATATGGTTTATAGATCCACCATTGTACTGGGATATGGTTTATAGATCCACCATTGTACTGGGATATGGTTTATAGATCCACCATTGTACTGGGATATGGTTTATAGATCCACCATTGTACTGGGATATGGTTTATAGATCCACCATTGTACTGGGATATGGTTTATAGATCCACCATTGCACTGGGATATGGTTTATAGATCCACCATTGCACTGGGATATGGTTTATTGATCCAAAATTGCACTGGGATATGGTTTATAGATCCACCATTGTACTGGGATATGGTTTATAGATCCACCATTGCACTGGGATATGGTTTATAGATCCACCATTGCACTGGGATATGGTTTATAGATCCACCATTGTACTGGGATATGGTTTATAGATCCACCATTGTACTGGGATATGGTTTATAGATCCACCATTGTACTGGGATATGGTTTATAGATCCACCATTGTACTGGGATATGGTTTATAGATCCACCATAGTACTGGGATATGGTGAAAACATAAATCACTGTTCTGGGATATGGTTTATAGATTCATCACTGTACTGGGAAATGGTTTATAGATCCATCATTGGACTGGGATATGGTTTATAGATTCATTATTATTCTAAGGGTGACATGACAAATCATTTTTTTATACACACTAATATCAATGAAATACTTACAATTTATAACAATAAGTAGAAATTAGCTAAAGTGAAGAGAAACTTAACTGATTATTGAATCTAATGACATCTGTATATCCTTGAATGTAATGACCTCTGCTTTTTGTTGAATTTAATGACCTACATATTCACATCAATTAACCAACAAAATATTTTTAGTTTTTAGCTTTAAAGTTGTGCATTCATCTTAAACTTGTCCAGTACGTCTTCATCTGGCAGTATGTGACCTTTCTTTGCCGGAATAGACACCTTTATCTTGAGATCACCTTGGAGTAAACTTTGAGAACCATAGATGATTCTGTGTTGGTTGGGGTAGTCCTGACTTAGTTGTGCTAATGTTTGTTTGAAAGTAAGAAGTTCCTGGGACTCAAGGACTGGCTCTTGGGGATACAAGTCATCTCCTGAACAAATTAAGCAAACATTTTATGTTTAACTTTCAGCAAAGTAGAATTTTTATGCTTGGGTTCATCAGCAAAGAAAGATTTTTGAACTCATAAAAAAAACCTTTAAGGTAGTGGTTCTCAACTTTCCTAAGGTGGCGACCCTTTAACACATTCCCTCATGTTGTGATGACTCCTAACCCTTAAATTATGTTAGTTGTTACTTCATAAATATGTGTATTCTGATTTGTCTTAGGCAACCCCTGAGTAAGGGTTGTTCGACGGCCAAAGGGGTCATGACACACAGGTTGAGAACCACTGCTTTAAAGCATTTATAAAAACTAATGTCATTAAATGTCTTTGTCTCAGCTTGAGGATCAGGCTTTCCATGAACTGATGCAGATTCTCAGTCTTGCTCGTATACATGGTAGGCAAACAGGCTTTCCATAAGCTGATGCAGATTCTCAGTCTTGACTGTATACATGGTAGGCAAACAGGCTTTCCATGAACTGATGCAGATTCTCAGTCTTGCCTGTATAATTGGTAGACAAACAGGCTTTCCATAAGCTGGTCCAGATTCTCAGTCTTGCCTGTATACATAGTAGGCAAACAGGCTTTCCATGAGCTATGCAGATTCTCAGTCTTGACTGTATACATGGAAGGCAAACAGGCTTTCCATAAGCTGGTGCAGATTCTCAGTCTTGCCTGTATACATAGTAGGCAAACAGGCTTTCCATGATCTGATGCAGATTCTTAGTCTTGACTGTATACATAGTAGGCAAACAGGTTTTCCAAGCATTACAAACATGTGAAATATTGTGTTGCATATTAGCTTCTGATTCACCAAAGAGTGGACGGTCATCTGCTCATCTGCAAAAAAAACTCTGGAAAGTACATGAAGTTTCTTGATGTTTAAATCAGTTCAGTGTCTTGTGTCACTCTCAATGTCTCATAACATAGCTTTTCAGCCCATTGTCACAAAGTGCTATCAATGTCTCATAAATAGTCAGAGATTGCTACTATTTACAGAAAGAGAAACTTTCATATGGTCAGAGCCAGTGTAACCTTAAGACTACTGTCTACCAATGTATAATATAAGAGAATACCACTCCAACTAAACTTTAACTCTAAAAGATAGTTTTGTTCAATCTACTACTCTAGGCTTGTAAAAGGTGGACATTCTACCAGCACCTTGTCTAATGTGGGACATTCTACCAGCACCTTGTCAAATGTGGGACATTCTACCAGCACCTTGTCAAGTGTGGACATTCTACCAGCACCTTGTCAAATGTGGACATTCTACCAGCACCTTGTCAAATGTGGACATTCTACCAGCACCTTGTCAAATGTGGACATTCTACCAACACCTTGTCAAATGTGTCTCCACCTCAGGCTCTTCCCCTCTCCTTTGTGCTGATGGTTCTTTGCTCATTACAGACAAAGAGAAAATCTTGGAAAGATGGGCGGAACACTTTGAAAGTGTGCTCAATACACCTTCCATCCTTAATGATGAGGCCATTGAAAGACTCCCCCAGGTCCCAACGAACAATTCACTGGACGCCGTCCCAACTTTTGATGAGATACAGACAGCGATCCGCAAAATGTCCAATGGCAAAGTACCTGGCCCCGACATGATTCCTGCCGAAATCTACAAGGAGGGTGGACCAGCGCTGACGGATAAGCTATTTGGCTTATTCCAAATCATCTGGCAGACGGAAACTGTACCACAAGACCTCAAGGATGCCTCAATCATCCACCTGTACAAACACAAAGGTAACCGCAAGGCATGCGACAATCACCGCGGAATTTCACTACTGTCCATTGCAGGCAAGATCTTGGCCCGAGCCCTTCTGAACCGCCTGAATGCACATCTGGAGCTAGGTCTCCTACCCGAAAGTCAATGCGGTTTCCGGAAAAAACGCGGAACCATCGATATGGTGTTTGCTGCTAGACAGCTTCAAGAGAAATGCCAGGAACAAAATAAAGACCTATATACTACATTTATCGACTTGAAGAAGGCCTTTGACAGGGTCAATAGAGCTGGCTTGTGGAAAATCATGAAGAAATACGGATGCCCAGACAAGTTCACAAACATCATCCCTCAGCTGCATGATGGTATGATGGCCCGAGTACAGGACAACGGTCAATCATCTCCAGCATTCCCCGTCACAAACGGTGTAAAACAGGGTTGTGTTCTTGCTCCCACACTCTTCAGTATTATGTATTCCGCAATGCTGTCTGATGCGTTCAAGGACTCCACCATGGGCTTGCCAATCCGGTTTCGTACTGATGGATCAGTATTTAACCTTAGGAGGCTTCAAGCTAAAACCAAGGTCAAACATACCACGATCAACGAGCTTCTGTTTGCAGACGATTGTGCCCTTAATGCTCCATCAGAAGCCGTCATGCAACACAGTGTTGATATCTTCTCAGAGGCCTGCAATAACTTTGGCCTCACAATCAACACAAAGAAGACTGAGGTGATGTATCAGCCAGCTCCCAGTAAGCCCTACGTTGAACCCAACATCATCATCAGTGGACAGCGTCTCAACCCGGTGGATAAATTTACTTACTTGGGCAGCACCCTCTCTAGATCTGTCGTCATGGATGATGAAATGAATGGCAGACTCGCAAAAGCTAGTGCCCTATTTGGCAGGCTCCGCAGCACTGTTTGGGACAGGAGAGGTATCAGTCGAGAAACAAAGCTCAAGGTCTATAGCGCAGCAGTCCTCCCGACACTGCTTTATGGATGTGAAACGTGGACTGTCTACCAGCGTCACGCCAAGAAACTGAATCATTTTCACACTACCTGCCTCAGGAAACTCCTCGACATCAGGTGGCAAGACAAAGTCCCCGACACCGATGTCCTCACTAGAGCGAACCTACCTAGTATCTTCACCACTCTGATGCAGTCTCAGCTCCGTTGGATGGGACACGTAGCCCGTATGGCAGACCACCGGCTCCCGAAACAAATATTCTTTGGAGAACTCACAATAGGCAAGCGCTCCCAAGGAGGCCAAAGAAAGCGTTACAAAGACTCACTGAAAGTGGCACTAAAGGCCTTCAGCATAAACCCTACTCAATGGATGCAGACAGCCCAGGACAGAGCCAGATGGAGAGCTGCTGTCAAGAAGGGGGCAAAATCCCATGAAGCTAAGAGAATAACCGCAGCTGAGACACGCAGGCTTGTCCGAAAGAGCAACATTAGGTCATCGCCTGAAGCAACTATTCCATGCCCACAGTGTCATAGATTATTCCGAGCAAGGATCGGTCTAGCAAGCCACCTAAGAGCTCACCGTAATCCCACCCCCCCCTGCCCGCCCCTAACCGGATGATTCGATGGTCCTTGTCGACTTCGACGGACGAACAACATAACCAGCACCTTGTCAAATGTGAACATTCTACCAGCACCTTGTCAAATGTGGACATTCTACCAGCACCTTGTCAAATGTGGACATTCTACCAGCACCTTGTCAAATGTGGACATTCTACCAGCACCTTGTCAAATGTGGACATTCTACCAGCACCTTGTCAAATGTGGACATTCTACAAGCACCAAGCAAAGTCGCTCCATATCAAGGCCACAGACACTTCAGCTGCCATAAAAATATTTTATGGTCAGAATGAGGTCAGAGAAAATAATTTTAAGACTTCCTGAACCCTCACTGAAAGCGATCGCCATGTACCCAGACGCAATGGAACAAACAGTGAGGAATGGAGCCTCACGGTGCTCTTTAGCACACAACTACTCCAGGAAAGAGAAAGCCAACAGAACAGCTGTGCAGAGCACAAGAGGCAATAAAGAGCAAAGACAAGAGGCAATAAAGAGCAAAGACCTTGAAGCCTTTACCACTGGAGATGTCCCAACTGAGTCTTGTCGAAACTGCCAAAGAAATGTTAGTGGAGGTTTAGACTCACCCGTCATTGAAATATTAGATAATTATTGGCCATTTATTAAAATACAAGATAATATTAATGAGATAGTAATTTATTAAAATATGAGACGGTATTGCTAAAACATAAAACACTGAATTTCTGAGAGGGGTTTGGTATATAATGTTGCACTATTATTATTATGTGCGAGGAAAATTTATCCAATAGAATGATTGTAAATTGTAAGAAAACAGATTACAAAAAATCTAAAAATAATTCATGGTTGGTGCACTCTTTGTCACATTGTCTACGTACTTAAAAATATGTTTACTTATGAAAACAAGGTACTAAGTGCCTATGGGGAATAAAAATCGGTCTACAAAAATGTGGGAAAAATTTCAACTATCATGTACACGTTGACAGGGATGATTCTGGACAATTTACTTTTCTGTAAAACATATTGGTTGATTTTCATAAGTATTCAACTATCAAATGATTTTTTAAGAAGCGTTATAAAGGGCAATACCTGGCATAATTGACATTTTTGCATCTTGGCAAACCGCAGCTATAGGCATCCATCTCTCCACCCTCTCACGATTCGGTTCAGACACTAAGATCAGAATATCACTTGCTGATTTCAAGTTGACAAGCCTCGAGAGCTCATACACTTGTGGGGGCGCCATCACACCTTTCTGCTTGAAGTGTGCACACAGTAAAGAGCTTGGTGATGCCCACTTCAGAATGAAAGCAAAAAAAGTGATAATGCTAAACCATTTAAATTGAACTATCATTTAGATTGAACTACTTAATGATAAGATTCTTTTAATTTTGTTCAATGTTTGAATATTTCTTACAGTTTTCATATTTATTTTAAAGACAAAGATTCTAAAATGTTTCAAATTTAGTTTCATTACCTGATAACTTTTTAAAATAAGTAGATAATTCAATTCTGGAATTATTTCAGGACATATTTAGGGGTTGACTTATACTAAAGACCAAAAGGGGATATCTATAAATGATGTCACAGATCTGTGGGTGGGGGGAGGAGGGGTAAAATAGTGTGATGTTATTTATGGATGCAGACATTCAATTTTATGATTAAGCTCTGTAAATTCTTTTTTTTTATTTAAAAAAAAGCAAAATATCTAAATTATAACAATTTTAATTTTGCTAAAACTCTCCTGCATTTAATAAATACATGAACAATATTGTTTTTATCCCAAAATAGTAAATGAAATATAGTAACAATTAGCTGATAGTGATAGCCCAATGAGTTGACCAATAATGAATATGTTGTAAAAATACCAATAATATCTATGGTGTAATAATTACCACAGCATTTACTGTTTCCCCTGAATCAACTGCTGCTGCTGGTTTATGATCCACACAACAGATGTAAAATGCTGTATCAAATCTGCGGTTATTGTTTGTATCCATTGTAGGAGTTAACCAGTTTGACCATTCATACAATGACCACACCTCTGGTACTAGGTCTAGCTCCAGGCACATTTTCAGAAATTCATTTGGGTCTTTGTTGACACGCTCTCGCCACTGAGTGATAACGTTGGCATCCTCATGTAATAGGGCAGGGCTTAAACTCCTACTCTGGGAGTGTATTTGATTCAATGATTTCTGAGCTGGCTGTGCTAATAATACTCCAGACTCCTCAAAGGTTTCTCTAATAGCACAAATGCGGAAAGCTACTTCAGAGGGGAGGGAGGAGAAAGCCGAATCTCTTTGTCGAGTAAACATTGGAGCAGCTTTAGGCGATCCCACTGAAATGGAACAGAAAAGTTTTTGGCACACATCTGAACCCAATTTATTAAAAACCGGTAACCACTGAGATGAGAAGTCACAGTCTACAGCAACACCGCCAGGAAAGACATAAACATTTGGCATAAATTTACTTTTTCCACTTCTCTTAAGCATTAAGACCTCAAAATTATCCATGAATAGCTCCTGCTCAGTAATCAGCATTGTTTTGTTGGTATTATTCAGTTCGTCCATTTTTGGTTTAGAAACTGAAGTACTCGTTAAGTTCAAGCGAGTTCCTCTTTTTGTTAGATTTGTAGAAGTAACTAGAATCAAGGTTGCTGCTTCTCGCCAATGTTTCAGTACTGCTGCCATTTTATAAAAATTCTCAGCTAGGCCTAGTAATAATATTTATTAGATATTAAATTATTAGGCCTAATATATATCAGCATCACTATTAGCCTCTTGTCCTTGAACTCTTTGAATAAAATAGGCCCTTTTATCACATTATTTTTATTAAACAACGTCAGGTAAATTATAGTATAATTATTTTTATATTACTAATATTTTTAGTCTACAGTCTACAATACTGACAATACGATCTACGCCAACATCTCTAGGCGCAGCCAATGGCAATTCAATGGCCTACGCCTACGCCGGAGAACTCTCTCGCGAACCACAGTTAGCAGAATTTTGAGAATATTTTTACAAGGCTCAAATAAAACTAAAATATGTACATGCAATGATGTAGAATGATTTTTTTTTTTTTTTTAAATTCAATTATTCTTATTGCTCTGATAATAGACTTTGACCTTTACACCCATTCTATAAACAAAGGGGAGGGTACTCCATTTAGTAAACTAATACTTAAAATTATATCGCTTTAAAAAAATTGCCTTAATTTACGTTCGTTGTTTTAAACAATAAAATGGTGCATATTATTATTAAGTTTTTGTTTTATTCACACTATTTTTAACCGTGTAATTTTTACATCGTATTAAAGACACATTATAAACTAAATACTTGTGATATGTGATATTAATTACGAGTTTCATTCAAATAGTAGTTAGTAGAAATTTTTTGAATGATATTCACTTTTATATTTAAATCCTTTTAAAATCCTAACCAGAGGCCTTTCGGTGTGAAAAACTGTTGCTTTGTTGTTTTTTTCCCGAAGCTCGTATTGAAAAATTAAAAAGAAATTTTTTGAATTTTTAGATCATAGAAGACAATAAATTAATAAATGTTAATCAAGGCATGAAAAATAAACAACTATGATACTATGAGGAAATATGTTTTGAGAGGCTTTGGGGCGGGCATCATGGGCGCCCGCAGGTAGGGGCAAGGGGGGGGCACTTGC